TTGAACTTTTTGATTTGACTATTTTTTTGACTTTTGGAAAGTTACTGATTTTGCATTGCTAGAGGACTGACTGTGTTATAAGATCATAATCCACATTGGTAACTATTCCCATTAGAACAAGGCATATAAGCGAACAATATTGTTGTCAATTAGATCTTCTTCAGGCTTTACTCTAATTTACATAGACTTATATATATATATAATTTTAACCAATGACGGTGATTTTGTGGATCAAATAATAATAACAATAATAATAATAAAGTGGTAAATGTTTTGAACGAAGTTAATAACGATGATTATAATGATAACAAAATATTAATAATAAGGTTTACGCAGGTGGCGATAAGAATAACAAAGTTAGTATATGCATATATGTAGACAATTCAATAAATAAATAAATTAGGTCAAATCAAATGGAACGATAATCAGAGTTTAAATAAATATCATGAAAGTACGTAGGAGATGGATGATAAGAAAGGGTGGGAGGGTTTTGAATAGAATTCACCTAGGCAAGCAAGGCAGAGACAAAGGTAGAACAAATTTCTTTTGTATACAAAGACTAGGATTGTTCTCTCGAATTCCCATAGTTTCTTCGGCTAAGTGTAAAAGACGGATTCTGATTCCGTTCGAAAGACTCGATGGAATGCGGTAAATAACTTTGAAAGCACTATTTTTGTCCACTTGGTGACCACTATCAATCAAATGTGAACCAAAATAGAACTTCGTATGGATTTTATTTGACCTTTCCCCATTAGCTTTTACTTTAATTGCTCAATTTCATATCTGATATGGTTGGTGCAAACTTTTTAACAATTCTATGGATCTCTTCTTTTAGGCATAATTTTTGTGTAGACTTTTTATTCTGCTTATAACTTTGTCTGTCAGTACTGGAGCTCGCAGACACATAGGTATTTAGGAATGATTTCATTTTTCAAGCATTCAATGTTACAAATACAATAATTTTCTTCATACCTTGCTTCAGTTTGGAGTATAGGTACGATATAATCTATGATAGTTTACGTCAACAAGTTCACTGACGCGCTACTTACAAAGCATTTGCATACTCTTGTATTTGAAGATATTATTTAATTGTAACAAGAAGTAAAGTGCATTCATTACTCATTGTGATCAATCTTCAATTCTGAATTAATATTATCACAAAACCATACAACATGTGAAGTATACAGTGCATCTCTCGGTAACTTGTGTACTGAGAAGATGTTATTGTCAATGCAGTAGGGAAATACATTGACATTGAGTTTTAATTGTCAATTTAGCCTGTGTTCTTTGTGCACTTCTGACTCTCTTCATTGAAATAAATAAATAAATAAAGAATAAAAGAAAGAACATATTCACAGGCAGGCAGGGTAATACGAGCTCGTTTCATTTCGTCGATTCTCTTCAACTGTGTAAATCCTAAACAAAATGAAATTATAGGTTACAAAAGGTTTGACTATGAACATACTTAACTCTCACAGTGATGTCGTCTAGTGATAGATAGAAAGTATAAGCGCAAAAGAATTCCAAAATGATTCAAATAGACAAATTATTGAGTGAAGAATATCCTTTTCGATAATTTCCTCTTCTGGCTCTGCAATTATAATATATGTTAATATATAAAGAATATTCTAGAATAGTAGTCAATAACAATATCAGTGTTTTTTAAATAATATCGATTTGTCAAGTTAGATCACAATGGAACTACCACAGTTCATTAAAGATGCTTATATTATAATAATAACAATAAAGATATAATAGCTAATAGAATATCAAATAAAATTAGGGAAATTTCCACAAAAATTGATGATCATTCAAATCTAGATTGCCAAGGTGAGGACAATGTCTGAACCAGCTTCTTTTGGACGCATAAACTAGGCTTCTTGGTGTGGATCCCAACAGCCTCAGCTATATTCAGTAATCAAACTTTTACCGCATACCAACAGATCTTAATTTCGTCTTAAGAGTTCGTTTACTAAATATTACCTAGGCCGTTGGGATCCATATTAACAAGCCTAGTTTGTGCATTCAGAAGAAGTTAGTTCAGACACTGTCCTTACCGCTTGGCCATCGAGGTTTGAATGATCCTCAATGTTTTTTGTAGAAATTTCCTTAATTTTGGTTGATATTCTAACTGCTCTTATATCCTTTTCATTATTATGATTTAAGCATCTTTAGTGAACTGTGGTAATTCCATTGATGTTACTTTACAAATTGATATTATTTAAAAAACACTAATATTGTTACTGACTACTATTCTAGAATATTCTATGTATATAAACATGCACATATAATTGTAGCGCCAGAGGAGAGGAAGCATTTATCGAAAAGAATATTCTTCGCTCAATTATTTCGTGTTATGTAGATGTCTGAATGAATATTTCCGCTAAAATTATTGCCTGTTAAAAGGATCACTATTCATGATTCAGTCAGATTGGAGATGAAAGGCATAGTTCAGATTTGACTTAAAAACAAGGACTGACTCAAGACAAAATACAGGAATGAACACACATGGTGAATTCAATGCATGTCATATAATGAAAAGTTTAGAAGGTTGGGAGTGAATAGTGAAATAAAATTTTTATTTTTTTGATTATAGGCTGATTCCAAACAGTACTTTTTTGGGTAGAAGTATGGAATTTTCAGCATGTGATATCGGTAGTCCAAATTTTGCAGGCTGACCATTGATGTCAGGTTGTGCGTCGGCAGGGGATCGAATCTCGGACCATGTGCATGGTTGGCAAGAGTACTAACCGCTGTGCTGCCGACGCTTAGACAAAACAATTAAGTAGATTATGAAACTTAATGGTGAATTCAACTCAGTAAATGAAAATCAAAATTACGGTTACTAGTATATATATACATATATATATGTATATCTTTCTGTATACAGAGGTTGGGTCAAAGTCTATTGGTGATAACAATGGCTTGTAAGAACCGAAGCAACCATGGTTTTCTTCGTGTATTGGTTATTTTAAAAGCCTGACTGATTTCCGCTGTATGTCGTGTGTCATTTGGATGTTTGAAGATTGTACTTGAGAACGCTCTTAAACTTTCTATCTGTAACTCGAATTCACTATGACTAAAGTAAAGTAAAGTAAAAACAGAAGGCAATGGAGACGCGCAACTGAAGCCCTATGTTCCTCTAGGAATTAAAGGATATAATAATAATAAAGTATATTCAGTCATACTTTGTGTAACTTATATTCTGATTTTGTTTAGGACGTACTCAGTTGAAGAGAATCCATGATATAGAACGAACTCGTATTATCCTGAATGTAATTATGTTCGTTCTTTCTTTATTCAAACTGATAAAGGGGAACTCCATTATGGATAAGATTTTATTTTGATAAATCACACAGTGGTGTTATGCAGTAAGTAATATTAACTGATGCGACCACGTTTCGAGCACAAATTATGGCCACTCATAATCACATCAAGTCACTCACTCATTCACTCACACAACTTTCACTCTTCATTTATATACATGTGTGGAATCGATTAGGTACTGGAATTAAAATCAATTTAGCATAATCTACATTCAGAATTATTAATAAGAGTGTTATCGATCATTTACAATCAGATGGGAAATAAGACGAGTGTTTTTATAAGTCACTTGTTAGAATGTTATGATGTTACAATTGAAATAGAATTTTAAGATTATTTATTATCCTCCTGGGATTTGACTGACTCTGACTGACTAGTAGTAATATTATCTCCTATATTTTTGGTATTTGCATTTAGTCATATCTGTTGAATGTGTTGTGTTGGGCGTAGGTAGACTCAATGAACTAGGATTTGGTAATGAATCTCTCTCTCCGCCGACGTATATTTTTTCTTAGAATTTTAACCCTCTCCCATCCCACTGTGCTCAAAACGTCATCAGTTAATATTACTTTCTGTATAACACCACTGTGTGATTTTATCAAAATAAAATCTTATCCATAATGGAGTTATACTCTACCAGCACAGTGACCAAGTTTTATACTTTTATAATTGCATGGAGGATTTAATCATGAGCTGACATCAGTTAGAGAACCATTGGAAAACCAGCGGGGAGTACTGGAGAGCTGTTTCGTCAGCCTAGTTTGGGACTCTTCATCAGTACGCACCCACCGGGATTCGAACCCAGGACCTTCTGGTTACAAGGCGAGCTCGTAGACCATTGAGCCACTGGGACCCGATCCAATGGTTTTTGAATTCTAACTTCTGCCAGTTCACGACATAGCGTACTGCTGAAGAGTCCCAAACTAGGATGAAACAGCTGTCCAGTACTCCCAGGTTTTCCAGTGGTTCTCTAACTGATGTCAGCTCATGATTAAATCCTCCATGCAATCAAACAAAATCCCTACAAAACCAATACTTTTATAATTGCGTTTTACTCAACCGAAGTACCAAGATTTAATGCTTATATCAGTAATAAAGGGTACCCTGGCTGTGTCAAAATCTCATCATCAATCATCATCTTTGTACGGGATGTTGCCTTTATGTAGTGGGTTTGATTCACAGCCAACTCAGTCCTCGACCTTGCCTAGTCGGTATTTAGTCGAATAAAACGAGGAAAATTGGAGTGAGGCTAGCGAACCCACCCAGTAAAAAAAAGAAGAAGCATAGCGGTTAGGACGCTCGCCAACCATGCACATGGTCCGGGGTTCGATCCCCGGCCATAGACGCACTCCTTAACCTCGCTAGGCCAGAAATAATGCTGGTAAAGAGGAAAGTTGTGGGCATGAGGCTAGCAACCCAATCCTGTAAAATAAACACTGCTACAGAAACTTCAAGCCACTAGCTTGAAGTTGCCCTATGTTCCACTGGGGAACGTGAAGGAAAAAAACCCACCAATATCTTAAACTTCAGAGTTCAAACTTGAATGCAAAGAGGAGATGTAATTCTTCAAAAATCAAATTCATATATGTGTATATTCCTTGTAAAAAATTATGTGATTCTGTTAATGAAATGATGTTGCATTCTTTGCAACCTTTTTTTGTCCAATTGCAATTTAGGAAATCCTGTGTAGTCACTATGGCTGAACGTGTTCGTCAAATGAGACAAGGGCTTTATGAAGGACTGAAGAGCTTAGGAACACCTGGAAATTGGGAGCATATTGTCAAACAGATTGGCATGTTTTCTTTTACTGGTTTATCACGTAAGTAGTTAAGTTGTGTTTTTTTTATTTTGTTTCATATATTTATGATTATGATTAATTATATATTTGTGCCGATGCAAATTCTCTCACAACTTGTTTATATTTCGTATGACCACTTCAACTACTTAATAATTAGTTTAAGTAGTAGATAACCGTTTAGAGAAATTTTAACGACATTACACATTTTCATGCGTGTAAATGAAGCCAAATATAATCTCTCATAAAAATTGTTTCGTTAATTCCTTTCACCTTTATTACATTAAGGGATTATATCTTCGAGACATAATGAAGTGTTACTCTATTACTGGTCATTTGATTGCCTCGTTTTTAAAGTTTATTCACCGTACATCTACATCTGACCGATATATTTTAATGCTTATATTTAACTGACTGACAACTATGGGAAATGGATATATCATGGAAATATCTATAATGGTGAATGCCAGTGCTGACACATTTATAAATCTCCGTGCTGTTCTTAGGATAAATACTGCACTTACAGTCACATCATGGAACTCATTGAAACATTTGCATAATTGGTTACATAATTTCATCACGAGCCGACATTGGTTAGAGAACCATTGGAAAACCAGCGGGGAGTACTGGACAGCTGTTTCGTCCTAGTTTGGGACTCTCCATCAGTACGCACCTACCGGTGTTCGAACCCAGGACCTTCTGGTGGATCGAACCCGGTGGGTGCGTACTGCTGAAGAATCCCAAACTAGGACGAAACAGCTGTCCAGTACTCCCAGCTGGTTTTCCAATGGTTCTCTAACCAATGTCGGCTCATGATGAAATCCTGTAACCAATCAACCAAATCCCTACAACCTAATACTTGATTGTCATTATTATTGTTCACGTGGTTTCCGAGTGGAACATAAGGCTTCAGTAGCGCATCTCCACTTTGTTCTATTTTCTGCTGTCCTCTTCATCTGGGACCATCATTGCCCATAGCCTGTCATTTCCTTCATGCCACTAGGATGACTCACTCTTCGTTTCCCATTCAGATTCCACTCGAGGCCCTGGCACGCGATATCATTTGATAGTCTCTTTTCAATGTACGACCAATGCATCTCTATTTTCACCTAGATACTTGTTCAGCTATAGGTTCTTGGCTAGTTCGTTCCCATAGTATTTTTGTTTCATTACTGAAGGGAAACGTTATTTTCAAATTTACTTGTTATAGTAACGTGTGAAACGTAAGTTCTTAGCTAATTCAAATTAGAAGTAATCATATTCGGATCTTTAGTTTTCCTCATTGAATGTATTTATGAAAACTTCTTACACGAGAACAAGTTCCTGTGTGATTTCAGTGGCCAGACAATTAAAGCTCCCATCATTACAGTGATGAAGTTATTTCTATGTTCTGGGCGCTTATACGGCATATCATTTTCTTTTAAATGGCTTCTTCACCTTTATCCCGTGGGTATTAGGGCATTTCAATAAATAGTGGGTTTTTTTATATTTTATTTCATCTCATTTATTTATGATCATGCATATGGTCCGAGGTTCGATCCCTTGCCGACTCACACCTGATATCTATGGTCGGCCTGCAAAATTTGGGCTACCGACATCCATGCTGAAAATTCCATACTTGTACTAAAAATACAGTGTGGAATCAAGCTGTAATAAAAAATAAAATGCATATGCGTCGGCGGCTCAGCGGTTAGGACGCTCGCCGACCATGCATTTGATGGTCCGGGGTTCGATTCCCGGCCACCGACGCACTCCTTTACCTCGCTAAGTCAGTAATAAAGCTGGTAGGGAGGAAAGGTTGGGTGTGAGGCTAGCAAACCCATCGTGTAAAAATAAGCACCACTGCTACAGAAACTTCAATTTAGGGTTTTGAAGTCCTATGTTCCACTGGGAATGTGAAGGAATAATAAAATGAGAAAGCTATAAAACGAAAGTTTCCAATTTGTGTAATTATAATTCATATGATTATGAACAATATTAAGTCGTGTCCGACTGCACACAGCTTAACTCAGCTAGAGTGTATACATATAGACCCTTTAACTCTACTGCCTTATCGATTAATTGTGGTGAAGTGAATGAGACACATTTCCTACTTTCCTAACATTTTGATCACATACTGAGTCTCAAAACCTCAATATTATTGATTTTTTTCTTTCAATTTATTTAATATCCTAAATAAGTCACACATTTATTTGTATTGCACACAACGTGACAAATTATCGTCTCATTTTCTATTGGCCGGCATGGGATTCATAAACATGTCGACATATATCACTGTGACTCAGCCTTTCACATTTGTGTGGGTTGGATGTAAGAAATATATTGATCATTAAAAATAGGGCATATCTCTTGTTAGCTTGCTCAATTTTTAAATACACAAAAATGTGTATGCATATATACAAGGAAAAATTGACATACAAATAAACACACCCACATCTACACACATATATAACTTAACATGTTTGGGCTCGTTCTCGTGCTAAACTATATTATTTATACATTTGTATATATCCTGTTATTATGTCTCAAGTGCAAGCACACAATATAGTGCTATTCATATGTGTGTTACTCTTTTTGGTAGATTTAAAGTCGATATAATTTGTGTTTTTTATTATTTTTTTAAATGTTTTGCTTTTAAAAGTGAGTGCAAATCATGTAGTATTGTTGAGGATTGTTCAGGTTATTTGATCGTCTATTGATGTTCAATACCCTTAGAAAGAATCATCACCCCAATGTAATAAAACAAAGGCGTAGATCAATAAATTAGCCACTATTTAATACATAAGCATTTTTGTATGTGTATATAAAAGTGTGTTAATACAGTTGACCTATCTAACAAAAGGTTATACATTAGTTAGAGAACCATTGGAAAACCTGGGAGTACGGTACAGCTGTTTCGTCATAGTTTGAGACTCTTCAACAGTAGTACTCACCCACTGGGATTCCAGGTTTTCCAATGGTTCTCTAACTAATGTCAGCTCATGATGACATCCTGTAACCAATCAATCAAATCCCTACAAACCTATACTTGAATATCAATGAGGTGCTCAATAGTGACTTGCTCTATTCTCAGTGGGAAGTCGTGGCCACTAGCGTGCAGCGGGTTGGGTGTGAGGACAAATACTCGCCAGCGAAGACATTGGCTGGTGGTCGCGCTATGTCGTGAATTGGCAGAAGTTAGAATTCATGGGCTAGCTATTGGATCGGGTCCCAGTGGCTTAATGGTCTACGAGCTAGCTCACCTTGTAACCAGGGGGTCCTGAGTTCGAATCCTTTCGATGGGTGCGTACTGATGAAGAGTCCCGGACTAAAGACGAAACAGCTGTTCAGTACTCTCAGGTTTTTCCGATGGTTCTCTAACCAGTTTCAGCTCATGATGAAATCCTGTGACCAATCAAAATCCCTACAAAGCAACACTTGAAAAGATTATACATTTCGATATCATTATTCCCAATGAGTAATCAGTAATGCCTGTGAGCCGTAAACATCAAATGTTCCTGAACTTATTATTTCATCACTGATTCGATAAAGCATAATTGATATCATTCATTTGTAAATTGAGTCAGAAATTTTTTTAAGAGTTCTTTTGTAGGGATATAATTTATTTCATGTTTGACCACACCTATTTCGTCCCTATTTGGGATTCATCCGCAGTACACATCTACCGCCAGGGTTCGAACCAAGAACCCTCCATTGCAAAGCGAGCTCATAGACCATTGAGCTATTGGGACCAGATTCAATGGCTAACCCATGAATTCTAACTTCTACCAAATCGTGAATTTAGCGCGTCTGGAGTAACCGATGTCATCGGCGAGTATCTGTCGTCACTGCCAACTGAGTGAAACCCACTGATCATGACTTCTGATTAGAAACAGTTGTACAGTAAGTACTCCAGTACTGGCTTTCAATGGTTCTCTCTCTCTAACTGATGTCAATCCGTGGTCAAACTTGAATTTCTTTGTAATACTGTCAAGTATTATAGTCACACTCTAACACGACTGAAACATCAAAGAAATATGAATAGCTATTATTTTTGGTCTGTTTGACGATTTCCTAGTGATATAAACCCAATATCCAAATTGGGAGCATAGAAAAGAAGAAGTACGGTTTCGCACTGAGGAGGACATTCTATTTAAAATACTAATTCGAAATTCCATAATCGACGTTCGCCTACTTTTGTCTTTCAATAATAACTTATAGGGTAAACATTATTCAGTGTCAACAACGTTCAGTTGTATTCATCATCAATCTATGCCTAGTTGACTCTCTACCTGCTGACTGTGCTAACATAGCGTTAGACGTGTATAAATTTCTACAGGAAATTTCATCACTACGATGTGTCTCAAACCTTTATTAACTTTATTAAGCAGATATATATATGACAATGCTACATGTCAAATGATTCAATGAAGTCTTTAAGGTGAAGACAGGCGTATATCACCGATGATATTCTTGATTATGATAGACTGGATCATGAGTCAGACCATTGGGTGGGAAGGAAGACTCTAGAAGGTTTCGTACTTCGTGGACGATTTATGTCTAATGTCATATAAACTGAATGATCTACAGGCGAAAACCAATAAGTTAACAGAAGAGACAAAGACAGGCAGGAAATACACAGAACTTCAAATGAACAAAGGTAATTGAAGAAACCTAACCAACGATGAAAAGCATCAGTCGCTGTCAGTAGTAGGATAAATTTGAAGTAAGTCACCTCTTCGAACTTATCTAGACAACATCGTTTCAACAACAAGCAACGACACAGATGATGATGCCTCAAAGGCAGGATAGAATCAGAGATGTAAGATAGACAGACAGACAGACAGACCTTCATAAGAATTCCCATCAGGCTAGTGTAGAATTTCATCAACAACAACAACAACTGTCTTTCGCTCGACACTGAATATCATCCATCAGGTGGTCAGAAACTATAAGCATGAAGGAACTCTTGAGATGAACCAACCAACCAACAACCTATTTCCTCAACGACAATAAAAATATGCACAAGGAAACGGATATGAACT